TTTTGTGTCTTCTATTAGATTCACCATGTGGTCTATGAGGTTTTGTATCACGTGGTAAATAATTATTATCATGAAATCTATCGTTTGGCCAACGTTCGCTGTTAATACTATATTCAGTATTTTTACTGATTGAATGTGAGTGTCTATCATTCTCATGTGTATTTGATTTTGAATTATTATTGTGACTTCTCGAGTGTGATCTGGATCTTCGATGTCTTGAACCATTGTCTCTAACATCATTACTTTTAGAGCGTGATCTTCTCCTTTCAGAATTTCTACTAGAACTTGAAATTTGTTTACGTTTGAATGGATTTGTTTCACGTGAACGTGATCTTCTAGAGTTGGTTTGATGCCGGCTCGAAGTTTTATTATCTTTCTGGCGCGAACGAGAACGGCGGGAACTACGTTGTGGACTACGGCGTTTATTAGTGCTTTTAGAAGGTGATCTCTTTCTCTGTACTATACTACTTTTTTCTCTTGAGCGTGAACGATCACGTCTTTTATTCTTTGGACTTCTTGATCGTGTTCTTCTCCTTGATTTATTGCGACTATGTTTACTAATAGCACTACTTTCACTACTGCTACTATCACTTCCCGAACTACTCGTACTGCGGCTAGAACTTCTGGAACGCGTACGTGATTTGTATCTTTTCGAACTTTTGGTGGTAGGTGAACGGATTCGCCCACTCATATTTGCAATATTGTATAAATTTAAAATATTTATTTAAGTACGATCTTGTTCACCAATAATAATTTTTTTTGTGTTTTAAATCTGTATAGATACGAAAACAATTTTTCATGCAACCAAGCTGACAATGCAACGTCAAAATTGATTCGCGTTGCCAACTTCATTGTCATAATTCCTAAAAAGCAAGTTCATATCCTAACATAGAAGAAGAATATTGGCTATGTAAATCTATAATAATTTAATTACTGTTGCTAATATATATATTAGTATTTATATATATATTTGTTAATTAAAGTGTAATATGAAAATTATTTTCATTATCGCATTGAAATAAATTTAATATTGATTTTAAATATTTTATTATATTTTTTGTTTTCAGATATGCCAAATTGTTGGTTAAAACTTTTGGCTCATAACAACAAAATGAATCGAAATACACGTAGGGGAAAAGGTAATAATTGTTAAAATTTAAATATTTAATATAAGATATATTTATAAAATATTTGACATATACAAACATATAAAGCAATGTTTATATAAATGTTTTCATATATTATAATAAAGCTATGTTAAGTATAATTGTCTTATTTTGTACGTAGAATTAATTACAATTTAACACAAAGTACAAATGAAGTAAAAAAATTTAATTGTATTAAATGCCAAAACAATAGTAGATAGTATTATATGGCATTTACACTAGCCACAAATGACTCATTTCAAATCAGTCATTTGCGGCCAGTGTAAATGCCATATTAACCTATTCTCGATTTTAGAATACAATGGTTCACTAAATCCTTTTTAATTTCTGCTGTTTTATATTTAACTATATGAGATGCACTACAGCAGCGTGCTATAATTTCATATTCTTATATATATAATGCTATACAGTACCCAATAAACAGAATTTTTTAAATATTATGGTTTTTTTAACAGACAAGCTTTAAACTTTGCTTATTCTTCTAATGTTACAGTCACCAATAACTTATTTTTGATTTTATTTCATTATAAATAATTATGTGTATGTTGCTTGAATTCTTTCCTAGTCAGCTGTTTTTTAAAACTATCCGTACCACAATAATAATTTTAATTAAAAATAGTTTATAAGACATTATAATTATTTTGCAATTTGCATATATTACATATCATGTACATATATAATGATATTAATGATTGCAAAATCATTTGCAATTGAACGTATATATCCTTAACATTCTTTTATTAAAAATAGAAATATTTTTTAAGAAGTTGGCTACTCTACATGCAACGTATATATTTGTAAATTTTGACATTTTGCACTTGTGAATGTGACGTGTTAAATTTTCCGCTGCCATAGTGCTATTTTACACACAAAATCTTAAATAAAACATAAAATAGCTTATTAATAATTGAAATCTGTACTCGCTTATAAAACTTAAGTAAAAATGGGTTCTTTTCGTCGTGAGAAAGAGGATGAAGATGAGGGTAAGTATGTGTGAATGAATTTATAAAAGCCAAAACCGGAGCACCTTCTGACTGCAGTGATTATTCAGCGTAGTCAAAACTGATGCAATATTTACATGTTTAAGTAAACAATAACAAAATGAACATATTTTAATACTTAATACATAAATTAAAAGTTCTTTCGAATTTATTACATTATAGGCAGCACCAATATATATCAGAATTTAGAGAAAACCTCAGTATTACAAGAGACACGCACTTTCAATGACACGCCTGTTATTCCAAGGAAATGTATACTAATTCTTACCAAGATACTTTACCTTATCAATCAAGGCGAACAGCTGGTGGCTCGCGAGGCCACCGATTGCTTCTTTGCCATGACAAAACTTTTTCAATCAAAAGACGTTGTTTTAAGGCGTATGGTATACTTAGGCATCAAAGAGTTAAGCTCAATCGCCGAAGATGTGATTATAGTAACAAGCTCACTTACTAAGGATATGACAGGCAAAGAGGATTTATATCGTGCCGCTGCAATACGTGCACTTTGCAGTATAACAGATCACACTATGTTACAAGCAGTGGAACGTTATATGAAACAATGTATTGTAGATAAAAATCCAGGTGTTTCCTGTGCTGCACTTGTTAGCTCATTAAGATTGGCAAGCACTGCTGGCGATGTTGTCAAAAGATGGGCTAATGAAGCACACGAAGCACTTAATAGCGATAATATAATGGTACAATACCATGCACTTGGTTTACTCTATCACATACGTAAATCTGATCGTCTGGCTGTATCTAAACTGGTAAATAAATTGGCACATAGTGGTGTGAAGAGTCCATATGCTGTCTGTATGCTGGTATGTATTAAAAGTAAATCAAATTATAATTAAAACAAATACTATAATATTTTACTATCACAGATACGTATTACTTGCAAACTGCTTGAAGAAGAAGATCAATCTGCAGATGAATCGCCATTATTTGCATTTTTGGAATTATGTTTACGTCACAAAAGTGAAATGGTTGTCTATGAAGCAGCACATGCCATCGTTAATCTTAAAAACACAAATCCCCGCGCACTTTCGCCGGCTTTCTCTATTTTGCAAATGTTCTGTAATGCACCAAAAGCTACTTTACGCTTTGCTGCTGTACGCACGCTTAATAAAGTAGCCATGACCCACCCAGCTGCTGTTACTACATGTAATTTAGATTTAGAAGGTCTTATAACGGATTCGAATCGATCTGTTGCTACTTTAGCTATAACTACGCTCTTAAAAACAGGCGCTGAATCTTCCGTAGAACGTTTAATGAAACAAATTTCATCATTTGTTGCAGAAATCTCTGATGAATTTAAAGTTGTCGTTGTACAAGCGATCTGTGCACTTTGCACCAAATATCCACGTAAGCATACAATACTTATGAATTTCCTCAGCGGCATGTTACGAGAAGAAGGTGGAATTGAATATAAAACATCGATAGTCGACACAATAATCACTATAATCGAAGAGAATGCCGAAGCTAAAGAATCTGGCTTATCGCATTTATGTGAATTCATTGAAGATTGTGAACATGTTTCATTAGCCGTGCGTATATTACATTTACTTGGTAAAGAGGGACCATTTGCGAATACACCATCAAAATACATACGCTTCATTTATAATCGTGTTATATTGGAGAGTCCAATTGTACGTGCAGCCGCTGTTACTGCTTTAGCACAATTTGGTGCTTCTTGCCCAGCACTTTTGCATAACATTTTAGTACTTCTAAACCGTTGTCAAATGGATCCAGATGATGAGGTGCGTGATCGTGCTACATATTATTTGAATATATTACAAACTGGTAAACCGGAATTATATAAAAATTATATTATTGAACGTGAAACATGCTCATTGGCATTGTTGGAAAAAGCTCTAACCGAACATTTAAATAGTGAATTAACTAATAGATTTGATCTGTCCATTGTGCCCAAAGCAACAATAATTAAGGAAGAAGTTACTAATGAAGCTATGCTTGTATCAAATGGTAAATATTTTTTATATAATATCTGTAGAAAGAGCATTTAAAATATGTTAAATCTTATTATAGCACCACGTGCACTTAAAGTTACACGTGAAGAGGAGAGTGCTGCTCGTTTGGCACAGTTGCCTGATATACAACTACTGGGTCCAATACATCGCACTACTATGCCAACTCAATTAACTGAAAGTGAAACCGAGTACACTGTGCAATGCATAAAACATATATTCCCTAATCATGTCGTATTTCAGGTAAGTTACATATGTTTTGTTGTTGTTGTCTTTTCATTTCTATTCATTTCTATTTTTTAAATAGTTTATTTTTTCGTCGATATTAAAATATAATATTATATTATAATATTAAATTTCTTTACAGTTTGACTGTCTTAATACGTTATCGGAACAAATATTGGAAAATGTTCGGGTTGACCTAACCATACCGGATGGATTTAATATAATTTCTATTATTCCCTGTGCGAAGTTATCTTATAATGAAATGCAAACCACTTATGTTATTGTAGAATTTCCACCTGATGTCGGCAGATCTGCTGGTAATTTTTTTTTTAAATTATATATATTTTTTTATATATAAAACATTAATGTACATAAATTAATTTTTCATGAAGCTACCTTTGGTGCCACGTTACGATTTATCGTTAAGGATTGTGATCCTAATACCGGAGAGCCGGATTCTGATGAGGGTTACGATGATGAATATATGCTTGAAGATTTAGAAGTAACTGTAGCAGATCAAATACAAAAAACGAAAAAAAATAACTTCCAAGTTGTTTGGGACGCTGCAGATACCAAAGGTAATGTACAAAAATTCTATATATATAATATTTTAAAACAATATTCTAAAATATATATTTTTGTGTTCTGCATTTAGAATGGGTTGAGGCTGAAGACACGTACTCGTTAGCTGCAGTCAATACATTACAAGAAGCTGTTAATACAATACTTAAATTCTTAGGGTTAGGTGCAGCTAACCTGTCCGACACAGTACCAGAAGGAACGCATACGCATACGCTGCTTTGTTCAGGTAAATAATTTCTTTGTATAAAATGTTTGTTTCGGCTTAATTCTAAAGACGAAGAAAAGAGTAAAATTAACGCTACTTATTTTATTTAACAAGTTATCGATGATAACTTAAATAAATGAAATATTTAGAAATAATTTAAAACTGAATTAATCTTTTTTATTTTATAATTAACAGGCACATTTAGGAGTGGAGCTGAAATATATGTACGCTCTAAATTGGCATTAGACGATGGAGTAACGATGCAGTTAACAGTTCGTACAACAGATCCTGATGTTGCCGAATTGGTAACATCAGCTGTCGGATAAAAGTAAATAATTTAATTAAAAATGCAAAAATTATTGCATTTTTAAGTAATGGATGAAAAATTAAGAATAATAATTAAAGTCCACATGTGGGTAAAACACATTCACAACTTTAAATAATCTTACATATATATATAAAATATTATTCATATTATTAAGTATGCAATTATATGTAAAAATGTCTTTTTTTTTAAATATGCGAATGCAATTCGTTTACATTTTTTATTGTGTTTAAAATATTTAAATATTGTCAACTTATACATTCAAAGTTATGATTTATAAAAAGAAATATTTTCCAAAATTTTAATTTTAATTATATACTGAATAGTTTAAAAATATATATGATCTATTTTAATTAACACTGAAAAATCTGCATTTTTTTAAATTAAATGAAAAAACTACAAAATATATGTTAAGTTAATTCTTGTAAAGTTAAGGATATAATTATTAAAGATTCACACTAAGGTTTGTTTTTATCTACTATGTGATATCACCTGTTAAAGAGGTAACTGTAGGTTCCAATACTTTTAATATTAAAACAGAGTAAACTTTTTGGTGTCACGTACAAACTATTATTGGGTTTGTACCCCTTATCCTTTATTTGGATCCACGAACAGCCAGGTCTATTTCCCAAAGTCATACGTCAATTTCGTCGGCTAAGTGCAGTTCAACACCTCCCAATGGTATTTCGCAAGCAGGTCTCCTCGAGTCACAACAACAAAAACATAATAATCGCCTTATTTGGGATAGTGAATCGGTTCAAAAGGTTTCATTGACATTATTAAAAGTTGGTTAGTCAACAGCCTTATTTTATCCTGGATAGCTTAGAAGTTCTCACGGTATTCCATTATTCATTCTAATAATAATGAACGACAGTTGATTCATTTAAAACTCATATGCCATAGAGAGTAAAATCCTTAACGTTAAATATTGTTTATGGACTGACGTTGTCTTCACAGATTTGACAAAAATCAATTGAGCGACTATTCAATCTCATACTATGGTTTCCATACCTGCTCTCGAAATTGATCTTCACGGGATAACTTAATGAGATCACTTGATTAAATGAGAGAATATTCAATCTCAGCATGGAACTGGAGGATACTCCAATTCTTTACAATTATTCCTGATAACTGTCAGCTAATCCGCATAATTTTTTATGACTAATTAAATTCCATTCTTTAGTGAAATGCAAGAGATTTGTTCGATAACTAAAGAGAATACCTTAACATAATAACAACTTATGTTTTGAATCTAAGAGAAAAACTTGTTATTTTTTAGCTCCGAAGAGCCTGGTTCCCTAAAATCCCAATGATAATAAAAAATTAATGATTTGGACAGATGTTGATGTTCTCCATATTGAGTACTTCTTGACTAATTATCAACCAGTTTTAAAGTTTTTTCAAACATTTGTAGTGTATTTACGTTAATTGAAGGTCTGAAGAGAGATTATGGGTGCGTTCAGTTTCAATGGCAGACATTTTAAGTTGAATAGAATTACACAAAGGAGTAGTTATTCCTGCCTCACTTTACTTTCTATGTATTATATGTGTAATCCATATATGGGTCGCAGATCATATGCGTACAACGGTTTTATATTATCCTAATAAAACGTTACATTTCGTTTTTTGAACGACAGTAAAGAACTTTTAAGACAACTGCTAGAATTATATCCCTCTTTCAAATTATCTTTTTAAAAATCTTTGACTGTGGTGAATTGAAAGATAAGATGTCAAACTTACACTGAATCATCACAGAAATCCTAGCAGGGCACTGTAAACTATAATACCACCTTACGTGACTGGGTATGCATACGGAGGCAAACAGTAGATTCTGTAAAGAGAATGAAGTATTGACCACACATGTGCTGTTAGAATGTCCTGCGCTAATACACATACGGAATAGGCTCCTGGGAATTCATATTCTTGCGGAAGAGGCAATAAAACTCCGTAATGTAGGTTCTGTACTACTTTTTATTGACGCAACAGGGCTTAGAGACCTACTCTAAACCCAGAAGAGGACAATAATAGTCTGTAATTCAAATCATATAATTAAACTGAACATGCACATTAGTGAGTTTTCAATTATTGCATTGATCTACTTGTAGCTCTGACCTATGGGTCAATAACCAATAACCAATTCGACGCACTAATTAATATTTAGATAATAAAACGTAACGAGCTTGATAGACAAGATCTTTCTCTGAGCACGAAGTAGAAAGTGCAATCAATTAAAATGAAGACTTTAAATTTTCCATATGACGTCATGGCTTATGTTATCTTTACGCTTCCGCAAATTTAAGTAATTAAGAAACGCACACATGTGATGTAGAATTGCATAAAGTTTGTTTATTTATTCAGAGAAGCTAATGCAAGAACCGCACCCGCAACAGTCATTTTGCTTAATGATTTCCTCTTCTTCTCTAGTGTGTACGAGTCTGTATGAGTATATATGGTAGGTATGTTTATATGGCTGTAATTCACTTTAGAATTGGGCCATATGCCAATAAAAATCCATATACAAATACGTTTCTCATTCGTTCATTCTCTTCGCGTAGAACTTTACATCTTTCAATTTGTATGAGAACTCAAAGATTTGATCTGCTGAGTATATCAACACAATCGTGCTTCGTGCTTGATGACTGCTGCTATGATAGATCGTCATGATTCCATAATGTATCGATCGATCAGTTTCGCTTTTACTCTCGTTACAAACGAAACTCCAAAAGTGAAAACACATCCACTTGGTGGTGGATTTGTAAATCTAATGATCCAAAACTATAAATATTTGTTTACAAAATAAACAAATAAAAAAAAACAAAAAGAATTTAATGTGTTTGAAAAGATACTAAATAAAGCTACTCAATCACCGCCCTCGAATTCCGCAACGGAATGGATCAAAGGGAATATTGTTGGTGAAATATTAAAAATAGTGCTATATGTAGTGTACGCGGTATAGAGAAAGCAGTGTCTACGAATTATATTCAGTATCTCGTAGGAGTTAATGAAGGCGCAGTTCAGTACCAGTTCATTAAAATAAAATTTTAATTAATTTCCGCTGTGCTGGGTTACGAATAAAAGTGCTAAAATGTTCAAAGTATCTCAAGAATTGCGTTTAGATACAAGTGGCAGTACTACGCGAAAAAATACAACTCCCAATGCGAACAGTGAACATGATTACACATTTGGCAAATATCAGAAAACACCTGATGCAGGTGAGTAAATCGGTTTAGAATATCATATATATATATATATGTATATGTGTGTATAGACTAGCATTACCCCTTGATAATTCTTACAAGTGCTTTCAGAAAAATACATTTTTTTGTTGGCACCTAATCAAAAATTCTGTGGGTATCTGCAGTATCTTACAATAGTTTCTACCTTGAACTTGAAAATATCAAATCTACCTGAACAGCGAAAATATAATACAGAAAAAAAAAGGACAAAAAATAACTTTGAACACATTATATCAATTATTTTATTGAAACGTAAGAGGACTGTAAAATTAAAGTAAGGAATGTAGTGAATTTCATCCATATATCTGATCTGTTTCGGCTGTAGGTTTAAAGTTTTTCACTGTGGACACCACAAGAAAAAAATCTTAATCTTGTGAGTGTTAGAAAGAGATAAGTGAGAGGTAGATACCATAGCTCTAAGTCTATCACTGTTAGACTATGTTATACGGATGATCGTTACTATCTAGAATCATCGGAACTTGACTTACGCCGATATCTATTTATGCCAATTAGCTGAATATGTTACAATACAAGAACTCAGAGGTTTAAAAAAAATCACATTTAACCTTTGACAAAGCCTAAAATGTCTTAGAGCTCACTCAAGATCTTAAACAGCCTGGTCAAGATTAATTGTTCCTTCTAATAATAATACTTATACCTAACACGGTTTGATACACATTTAACAACGGGTTTTAGTAAATACAACTATACTGGACAACTTTTTTCACTATGCTATATGGCAATATATGGGTTAGTTTTTCAGATATCGGGTCTTTAAGTTAAATATTTTATATAGAAAGTATATATGTGCAGTTTTGTTAAAATTGCATAAACTCATTAAAGCCTAATAGCATTAAATCCTAGAAGTAAACTATGTCCTTATATTACTTACCTACTTACAGCTCTTCTTTTCTCCTAGTGGAGCATAGGGCCTCAATTGTCCTAATATAGTGCATTGGAAAACGTTACCCAAAATAGCTGACTCTACCAAAAACCATCATTAAAGCGACATTATGGAAATCTGAATTACGACTGATACTTCTGTATCACTTATTTTTCAACTTACGACCATAGTGCCTTGATATAGATACTATATAAAAGACTTAGACGTTAGTAGTAGTTTTTATAGCAGATAGCCAAATTGAAAGATGCTCACGGTATGACTACCTAAAAATATTACAAGGGTTTTGTTAGTTAATTTACTAAATACTTTATACACCCAAATTACCAACATAATGGAAATACTCTCTTTAAGGTGTTTTTATATCAAAGATCAATAGAGCTTTCACTTTAAAGAGAATCTTGAATTTATTGGAATAAGTACCTGATTTTAGTAACCTATTATTTTACCATATATAAGATTTCTAAATTATTGTTAATAAAATACTTACCTTCTTTCTAATTTCACAGATGTGTATCCAGTAAACGATCATAGCATATTTATTGCACCGGAACTAACCGATACCAGTAAAATACAGTTGCTGCATTTTCCTAACAGTGTAGTTCACAAAAATACAAATATCAATTTTATAATAAGGCGAAATGGAGCTAAGGGAAACTTTGAAGTTAAAGTTGAAAGTCCTTCTGGAGTTCTAAGTACAATGGTATTAAAGGTACTTGATCCAGAACGAATTGAAATTGATTTTAATGTCAACGAAGTCGGTCTCTACAAAGTCTTTATGAAATGTAATTCTGTACCAGTACATAAGTCCCCGTTGATTATCGTTGTCATATGTAATGAAGCAGAATCAATGAAAACATAGATATACAAATATACCTATATTGATATATATATATATCTATGGTTTATCAGCAGTACTTTTCATGTGTCATTATTTAATGTACTTTTAAGTTCTACATATATACCATTCTTACATAAGTTTAAGTTTAAGAATTCATCTTTGTGTCATATTAGAATTAATTATATAGACTTTTAGAGATAATACAAATCGAATGTCATTGTTAAAAATCGTTTCACTTTGAATTTATTTACTAAAACTCACCACTATTAATTTCAATAAAAAATAAATGAAAGCCTATTTACATTTTGAATTCATTAAAGCTATATTAGACCTCTTTTAGGAAGATATACTAACAACATAAGTGTTAATGCCAATTCTAATATTATAAAGCATTGAAAATATGAATAAATTTCTGTTTCTATTTGCTACTTCATTAAGGCATTATTAAATTATGTTAGATTGGCTTCTCCTGAAGTCTGAACTTTAAAAAACCAGTGAGCCGTCCTGACGTATTCTGGGCAGTAGTGTTCACAATCGAAAAAGAAAATAAAATGCGAACTAAACGTAGATCTAGCGTTCTTAAAAACCACAACAATATTCTATCGGATAACCAAACCACAAATCAGGTCTTGAAATTAGACGGCTCAACTTCTAGAACAGTCTAACTACCTTAAATGAATGAAACTATATTTCTTTGATCAAGATCTTGCCATATCGAAATTGACGTAGAAATCAAAAAGCCGATGACTCTTCATACTAGAACGGATTTTCTGCAGAGCCGATATTCACACAATTGGTTATGACTAAAAGATCTATTAATACACAAATGTAAGACATTCTACACATCTGTATAAAGTCCGTATATATATAAGTCTTCCATCATGTTAGAATAGTAAATGTCTATATTCTAAATACAATTCTAAGCAAACATTATCGCTTATAAATAGAAAAAGCGATATTATCTGAATTGACGGCATTTAATACCAGTTTCTGTCCTTTTAGAGAGCAGGCCGTCATATTTAATATAATATAATAATAATATAATAAACTACAGCCAACCGGTAGAAACGGACTCCTTTTTTTTCTGTATAATTAAAGGTTGTCCAGTTCATGGTCGTGATTTCAGAAATTTGTGTCAGACATTATATATATCAAATATATCAAATACAACTATAATCTAAGACATCATATGCTTAGTTTAGGGTTTGTCATTTTTCAAAATAGATCATTTACAAATTATAAGTGGGTAAAATTAAAAAAACGTATGTGAGGAATAGTAACTACTTTTAAATGGAATTTTCTTTATTAATAAAGCTTAGTTCTGACTTGGTGTATATGTCAAAAAATAAGTGTGCCATCTGGGGCAGTGCCAATTCTCAAGTAGTTGTAAAAAAACTATTAGATCTGAAACCAAACCCAAAATTATAGTGTATGATGTAGTATTTGCTCTGGAAATATGATAGATCCCTATTTATTTGGATATGATAAAGCTGTGACATAAATCTTAAATTCCTATCGCTACAGCAATATAATTATCCTTTTTTTTTCTTTTGGCGAAGATTGAATATCTGTATCTCGAAGATATATAGTTTCAATAGACCTTTACAAATCATCTTTGGACTTTATTGGGCGAGAAATTTACCGAATGTGTAGTTTCAAATTTTGATGACGAACATTACGATTCGTCTCCACTGATTCTTATTTGTAGTGTTTCACGAAAGGTGACGTTTATACGAACATTTCTTGAACTCTTGACAATTTGAAAATGAATATTTCTCAAAGTATATCTGAAATATAATCTGCAATTTGACTATTAACTTTTTGAAAACTACCTTAAAAAGGATCTAGTTCCGTAAAGTATTTCATGCAGAAGATTTAAATAATGTCGCAACTCATTCACACCTAATGGTAGGTGTGAATGGATGTATTCCTAATATATTTCTTGTAGTTAATTATATTTATTATTTAATTATAATATATAATAAATTATATATATATGGCGTAATTATATATGGCGATTGAGTGGAACCCGATGGGTAGCAGGTACTCACACCTGGAGAAGGCAAATCGACATTGAAATATTACCAATCGTACCGAGTGGAAGATATTTGTTGCGGCCCTATGCTCCTCCTATGAGTTAAAGGATTAAATATAGTATATATTTTATATATTATTCGTAATATATTGGAATAAAAACTTTATCAAAATCTCAATTACAAGAACCACAAAATGAATAGCGCTGTTGTATAGAGCTGCTCTTGGAGACATAAGACAGCCACCTTAGGTTAATTGTTCTTCTATCTTAAAGAGCTATTGGATATATACATTCACGGACATCAGAGCTTCTTAGATTGCAAGGATTAATTAATTTTCATAGAAGAATAAAAATCTGAGAAATGAAGTTAATTAAATTTATTTACATATATTATGTTCAAGAACTTTTCCCTTTTCCCCCCTCTATGTTCTTAAAAAAATATTTTATAAAAATTAGTAAATGTATCACTAATAATTAATTTGTAATAATTACTTTCAATTATATAATATAAAGAAAATTAATTATCAAAATTTAATTAATAATTACATCAAATTGATACGTCAACTCTTTTATAAAAAAAATTGTCAACATCACCTTTACTTTACTTACCTTTATATACCCACCGGATTACAAAGCCTTAAAAAAATTTAAATTTTTCTTCTTCGTCTACATATGTTATCCAATTACGAATGAGAGTGAAATTAATCTTAATTTATTTATGTTTTTTTTATTGTTATTGTTGTTGTTTCATTATTTTGTGTTCTTATCTTCAGGCCTTTTGTTTACATTTGTGTATTCATTACTGATTCCCGCTCTCAATAATGATAATTGCTAAAGTCATTATGCTTTTTTTTATATTTCGTTACGCTAATGAACATTTGATTGCAGCACTCAATTCAATGAACGATTACTGGCAAGCATAATGATGATTGCCGACCGGCAAACAATATTGTTGCTCTCTTTTGTTGCTGCAATTTGTGTTAATGACATTTTATGTTATCAAAAAGCAGTGCAGTAGTTGGAAAGGTGTAAAAATATTAAATTTATTGTCTAACATAATTTGAACAAAATTAGATAATTATTTTACTAATATTAATTATTAAATGTTTTTTTTTTATGAACTTGCAATAATAATAAATTTGTAACAATTAATGTCAGATATTATAATACAAGTTTAATTTCAAGAAATTATATTAGTAGAGTGACCAGAAGTTCGAAAATAATAATCGGTATTAACCATTTAACTCCCCTCTTTTAAATAAGATTTTTGTCTTCCATTGGGGTCAATAATAATAGCTAAATGAAATTGTTTAATGTTGAGCGCAAATAATCATTTTATTTTGAATTTGGTATAAAACAAATTTTCAATATTTTAAGCGCAATTTTACTAGCACTTCAAAATATTAAAAGTCAATTTTGCTGTAGAAATTTAGTATTGTTGTGGATTATAACGAAGCTATAATAACTTTTTCACCCGAGATTTACTTTAAGATTAATTTATAAGATTAGATATTTTATCAAGTTAATGTAATTACCCTGAAATTACCAGCTGTTTTATGTTATTTGACCATTCACTTGTATTTGGCATTTTAAGTTTTTGAAATATTGTGTTTACTTGCAAATTAATTAATAAAAATTCAACTTAAGGAAACCGAAAAAAATAATATATTAAAAAAAAGCTGTACTGACATTTTAACATATGTGTAGCTGTCAAATAAAATTTTGGGATTAACCTAAAATTGTTTGATTGCACCACACAATATAAGCAAAAAATGACAGATCGAGAGGAAATCTAGATTTACCAATCATAAGTATAAAATATTGTATTATATTTATAAAATTTAATTTAACCGCTCTTAAGATCGTTTATTTAAGAACTAAAATGATTGATTAGTAACACCTACTTAATAAGTAAGTAAGTTACACTTTACACTTACTTACTAAGTAACACTTACTTAGTTATGTTAGTAAGTAAGTTACACTTACTTATGATGTTTGCGATTGGTAAACATGAGGTAACTTTTTCAATCGAGATTCACTTTTAGTGCAATTTTCATTTACGATTGGTAAATCTGTATAATATTCAAGATTAATATATATTTCTTTCTATATAATATATAGAAACAAATAGAGATTAATATATAACCCTCGAGATTAATTAATAAGACTCTAAACAGTTTGCTAGAGTATTAAAATTACGCTAAAATGAAGAGTTGTTTTATATGACTTGACAAATAATATATAATTTGATTCGATATATGTACTTTTGAAATATATAAATGCTTACTAACACTGCTACAAAAATGTTAGATTATTCTTAAAATGTTCAATTGGGCAAAGTTTGACAGATCGAGAGTAAATCTAGATTGAATCCAGATTTACTAATCAAAAACGCCATTAGTTATTGGTAAATTTTTGTTTATATTTAAAAGAAATATTCGTAATAAAACCACATTATGGTTTAACCCATCTTAAGCCCAGTTAAATTACATTTTATTATAATATTTAATATATATTAATTAATTATTGAAAGTAATATATTTAATATTAAATAAAAATATATTTAAGAATAACATAAAAATGAATGTACGTATTCCTAAAAAAGTCAAAAATTAAAAAATTCAATAAGACGATTTGTTAAAATTAATATATAATTTTATAAAATTAATATATAAATTTATAAAAATATTTAAATAAAATTATTGGATTTTTATATGAATCAAAGGTTTCAATCAAAGTGAAATAAATAAAAGTATTTTGACAGTATTTATAAGGCATGATAATTTATTTAAAATTAAAATTCTTTCAATTAATTTCTTAGTTAAATTATATAAATATAAGTTTTAAATGCCTGTAGCATTTTTTCAATTGAAGCTTAGTAATAAACACAACAAGTAACTTTAATGATGATGAGCAAAGTCGCTAGGCAAGCAAATTAATATTATTCTTCACATTTTTACCAACGGCTAGTTGTTTTTCACTGTATTTGTCTCTTTCTTATACATGTGAATTGATGCACAATATAATGTAACAAGCTATATGATATTTGAATGTCATTATTAAGCAGTGTGACTCTCTTAATGATAATAAACAGTACGGAATGTATGCTGTGGGTATGAATTAATGCTAAATGTTGAGTTTTCTTTTGTTGGAAGCAACATGTTCGAAGTAATGCAAGAAGTATAAAAGAAGAAGATATGTGTTAATTATTAATCAAAATAACAGTGAGTCAATGAAAAAATG